TCAGTTATACACAGTGTAGTTGTATCATGTTAGGCAGTAGTAGGACTTTGTTAATGTATTTATTTTTAAAATAAGTATAGTTTTCAGAGACATATGTGGGTGCCAAGTTGACAATGGGTTGGCTGTGGTGGTTTTGTAATATGTCAATATAGCTAGGCTGAATTGCATTTCCCAGATTCATTTCCTGTATGTTTCTGCTTAAAGTAGACCATGTTTAAGAGACCTATTTGCAAGGGATCTAGAAGGTGAAAATAAAGCAGCAGCCATATTGTTTTTAACCTTCAAAAGGTAGAGGCAGGTGAATTTGTAGCTTAAGCACATTATCATTTATCTGCTGGCTCACCTTGTTGGCACAGGGCAGCACCCAGGCCTGCAGCTGCTCTACCTTCTCCTAGATCCTCCTTCACCATCTTCAATTCTTAGAGTATCTGTTTAGCTCTATGACAAAGAGCACTACTTCATAAGGTTGGATAAGGTAGTTCATTCTCATGGTCCCAGCTCTTCATGAGTGTGAGCTTGTCCTTGCTCTTCCCCACTTTACATCCATTTTCCCTTCCCAGTTTCCTGCTATGCAGACTTCAAGTTTTAACATCAGACATGTAAACAACAGGCCACAGAGACTATTTAACCAGTATCCAAGTTGGATATGAGATCCTATCTGTCAAAATACACAGATATACACACATATACAAACTTTATACAGGTCTCGTCCATAACCATAGAAGGGTCCCTAGCATTGTGTTTTCATGATTGTTATATTTTTATAAAAGTTGTAAAAATAAGCTATTTCAAATGCAGTCAACTTTTGAGGTTTTTAATTAGTTATAATTTGTTTTCTATTTCTAAACAGATAATCACCTTCATGTCTAATTTATATTTGTAATTGTATGTTCATTTTCCTAATGAGAGTCTTCTAAATAGTAGGTGTTTCAAAATCTGGGTCTGTCCCTGCAGAGGTCTTCCTGCACTTGAGGTCAGTTCAGAGTCAATTTCCCTGAAAACAAACATAAAACCCTCTTGCAGCTGTAGGATGAAATAAATGCAAGCTGCAAACAAAGAGAGAAGGTTGGCAAGTCCCCATCTCAACCACGAGGCATATAAACATGAGGTGAATTTAGCTAACTCAGTCTTCATTGTAATTTACATTCCGGAAGCTATCACTGTAAGACGGAGGGCTGTACTGGGAAATCAGGCTCAGTCTCAGAATGTACACACCTTCAAAAGAAGATGGATAGAAGGAGTCAAGGGCGTGGCAGCTACGGAAGGGAAGAGAAGATGAATCAAGGGTAGAATGTTTATCCAAATCTCCACAACCATATTCTCCTGGACCAGGACCCTCCTCAACGGCAGAAAAATTAACACCACATAAAGAGATTTTCATATCTCATTGGAATGATTCATTGAGGTGGGAATAAGAATATGCCTTGTTTAAGCACAGGAATTTGAGACTATTACATAGATTTCTAAATCCAATGCTTCACATAAATGTGACAACAAACTCTTAAGGCCAGAGATGAGTCTGGCTCAGAATGACTCCATTGCTGGATAAAAAAGAACATTTTGAGAAACTTATCACTGTACTATAGTTGAAAATGAAGTTTAGCTTCTTAACCAAAAACTGTAATAATATGCATTCTACAGTCAAGTATTTTGCTAAGAAAATATTTTTTTCTTTTCTTCATTTTTCTAAACTTTTGTTGTAACTTTTAAATTGAAGAGTTAGTATGCATCTTTCATGGCCTTAACACATAGACTTTTTAAATATCTTTTTTAACACTGTGAAACCACATTAATTTTACATATATAACAGGATGGATAAGTGGGTGGGTGGATAGATGGATGGATGAAGGAGGGAGTCAAATGAGGTAGGGGAGAAAGAAGGTAGGGAGGAATAGATATCAATAGATAAAGAGTTGTTATTTTTAAAATGGCTTAGTTTGACCTGGGTGGACTAAAAAGAAAAAATTCTAATGAGAAAGGCTCTTTTCTTTAAGAGCAATACCTCTATCATACTGTGCACATTGATTATGAAAAGTGAAGTTTTTAGGGCCCAATCTCCAAGATAGAGGTGTGAGATTTGTGGAGAAGAAAAAGAGAAGTCACCAAGTTCAGGGTCAAAAGAGGACGATGGCCAGTGAGAAATTCCCTGTGAGAGGGAATTAAATGTCCATGAACAGAGAATTTGAAATTATTCCCTGGCCTATGCTAGTTTAGCCTATTGTTCCCTAACTTTCCATTAAAGTCTGTGATGCTCATGTCAACGTAAGACACCAGCTCCAGGACCTGAGAACAATGGGAGAAGATGAGGCCACCAGATGGGACCGAAAATCAACAGAGACTGGAAACTAGAACTAAAAGAAACAACGAGAACAGAAGTTACCACAGCTCATGCCACCAATCCACCCTCTTGCTGAATCAGTTGTCTGAGGAAAAATCTTATTTCTAACACTAAGGGGGCTCAAACTAGTTTATTAGGAGAGTAAATTAAAGGGTGACTCCAGAAGGCCAGAGGATTTGGGGATACCCAGGAGGCCAGCATCAGGGTTACATCAGTTGCAAAATAATAACCATTATAACGACTAAATTTGACCATCTACATTTGTTCTATTTTTCCTTCATAAAATATCAGAAGGGACAAACCGCATTTTCAATTCCATTTATTTGGAACTAGAAGTCTTGCTCTAGTACCATTTGGTCTTTATAAAATGTTGATGATCTCAGTAACTGAAAGCATCATATAGCAAACATTGCAAATTCTACTATACAGAGAAAAATCTGACATAAAGGCATATTGTCCCAAAAAGTCACAGAAAAACTGTATCTGTTCATTTCAGTATCTTTCTAACTCTTATGTGTGAGGGCAAGAAAAGCACAAGCAGAGATAGAGGCAGTTCAGTATTCTCTCCAGAAAGTTGTGTTCCTTCCATGTGTCTCCACCGAAGAAGGACAAGTGGCTTCTCCACCCCACCCCCCAAAAGGAAATATGGAACATTAAGGTTTCTCTGAGGACCTAGTTCCATCAATTTTCTCCCCTCTGGAATATATACACTTTTTAATCCTTCTCTATACCCTGGTTCCTTCCTTCTAACCCAGGAGCTCCCAACTGCAGAGGTAATCAACTTGGTGTGTGTGGTGCCTACGTGGCTTGTTAGCAATGAGTTTTTATGTTTGCTTAAATTAAAGACTATTCAAGGGCTGCCCTGTAATAATACCACTCTCACATTCTGAGATACCTTTCTCACTGAAAAAGCCTCAGTCTGTTACCCGAGAATTGTCTGCCACCTGGAGCTACCTATTCCAGTTACCCATGGACAGTTATGCAGCAGGATCTAAAGGATTATGGGGCTGTAGAGCCCTAAAAGTTGGGCAAAGGGTAACAATACATGGACATGTTTAGGGGAGTGTATTACACATGTGGACCTCATTGTTTGTAACATCACAGCAGGCAAAAAAAAAAGCCCACAACCTCAGAATCACTGCCTTACCCTACAACATGCTCGCGCTTCCTCCATCTTATTAAAATGGCTGTTTTAAATTTTCTGAAAAACTGTTAGATATAAAACAAACAAAGCAACAAATAAACTTTGTCTAAACCTCTATGTAAGTCTGATACCCAACAGAAAGCAGGCACTCTCAAATTAGGATCACTTAAGGAGGGTTTATGTACAAAGGGAACATTTATTAATGTCGCAGTAGAATATAGAAGACCCGCAAGGAACAGTACAGTAACCTGGGGCTAGTAGCAAGAGACTTGTTGCCATCTCTGAGCCCTAAAGAGCAAGAGAAGTTACTAAAACCCAGAAGGAGAGATACGTGGAGGAGGCCATCAAGAGAAGCATGGATCTCAGAGAAGGAATGCGACCAGTCCAAGGTATTCCCTCTGGGAGAAAAACAGAGAGAATAAATACTCAGCTATCTCTACTCCCTCTTTTCCATGGAGTGTGATGTTCATCAATGACCTCCTATTGACTAAATCCAAGGAATAAACACTCGTTAGTTCTTTTTTTGCCATAAACACAGATATTGCAGCCTCTGAGGGCAGTTACTGGCAATGGAAAAATGGGCCAGGATGCACTGAAATGGTAGGGTCAAAGGTGTATGGGTGGGACACTGACAGCATCTGCTAGATTTCCAATTTCCTATTTCTAGTCTGGACCTCTCTATTTTCCCCAATTCATACATCCAACTGCCTACTTGGACCTCTATTACAGGACCTGCCTACAGGAATCTCCCGTCTCTCATTCTCATTCCTACCTTCACCTGTTTCTCCATGATTGCAGAGACTGGCGTCATCATCCACCGAGCACTGCAAATGAGTTACCTACCAGTCATTTGTGATTTGCCTCCTGGTTGCCAAGTCTAACTGAACAAACTCCCTACATACCTCTTGTTCCTTCCTCCCATCCCATTTTTTTCTCTGAACTATTGCAATAATTGCATTTCTGTCTTGGTTCTACTCACACTTACATACCATGTAATCATGTTGCTAAAAATCCTCTCAAGGGCATCACCATCACCTAAAGTCAAGATTCTAACTCTTTAATTGAGTACAATGATCTGTTCCCTCTCTTCATTTCCAGCTTCATCTCTCTTCCCTTCTCTAAATATATGTGCCTGCTCACATATGTATGTATTCATAGTTCTTTGCATACAATAAAGTCCAGTCTTTACATATGTTTCCATCTTCCATGTTTGTCCTTCTGCAAATTACCTACCTGGTCAACTCCTACTCATGTCAAACATCACTTTCTTTGCCATATTGTTCCAGACGTCCCAGGAAGACAGACATCTCTTGGGCTATGCTCCTGCAGCACTAACAATTACAGGGCATTAATCACATATCTGTTGGGTTGATAATAAAGGTATCCATGGGAATAGTGTTAAGTTCTTTACCTGAAGATCAGAACATACCAGAAGTAATGTAAAAATACAGATACTGATTGACAAGCATAAAATTGTTCATGATAATGCTCAATATTGGATATGAAGACCACAGACCCTTTTTTAAGAGATCTCTTTTTATTCAAGGGATCTGAGTTACAAACAGTCGTAGCTCTGAAAATCCACTAAGATGGTTCGGCTAAGGTCTTTTAAAACCAGAACCAAATGATAATGATAAAGGTGACATTGATGATGATGATGAATGAGTATGTCAGTGCCCTGCCCAGCCACATCTGTCATAAATCACTTCCATTAACAAACACAATCTAATCTGATTAACACTCCTGCTCCTCAGCCCTTTGAGGCTACTGTGTTGCTACTTGACTTCTGCTGCTCCAGCATCCCTCTTTAGACTAAAGATTCCAGTTCGAAGATAGCATCTACCTTCAACCACAGCCTAGAGGGCAGGCACTAGAGCACTTTTCAAAAATGCTGATGTTATGTTCCCAATGTATTGGGTAGTGCTATGACAAAAGGAGTATCCTCTGGGCCTTCACAAAGGAAAATAGTTATCGAGAGGGAGAACAGGTCATACATGATAAATCCATTCCTACATCCCAATTCTCTAAGTTATTAAATTTTCCTTTCTCTACGTTATATCAGGGGAATTCTGCTATCTCTGCTTCATTTAGTGTATGCCACTGTTAAGTCCAAATTTTAATCAACCGAGAAAACTGTTAAAAATACTCCCAGCTGCTCAAACCAGCACATTTAATCCAAAATCTAATATGAAAAACCAACTAAAAAAATTCAGCCCAACCTAAAATTATACACCTCACTGAGTTAGTACCTCCAGAATCCATTCTCACATATATTGCCCCATGTCTTTTGCTGCATAAATTAGCAAAACCTTCGAATTTTATTCTCCCAGACTTGACTTTGAAATTGGTTCCTTGGGATATGCCAGAATGTGATTCTACTTGCCTAGAGGCATTAAGGAAAACTGACAAGCACTGGTGGTGCGGTCATCACAGGGTTTGTAAGCAGGACAGAAACAGATTCCTCTTTCAGGGGTTGCTTCTGCTACAAAAAATACTTAGTGGGGTTTGGGGGTTCAACATCCTTAAAGTCACCTAAATTTACCCCAAAGTTACTATTCCTATTTCAAGGTTACTCTCTTTTATAATCAATGCTCTCATGTACATATAAGAGATCAGGCAATGCTATGAATTCCACCTGCAATGCAGTTTACCAATTTGCAGGATCAGATCTGGGTCTGATTTTTAGTTATGTCAGTCTTTTAACAAGAGTTAAGAGAACCTTGGAGATCTGTCACAGAAACTCTCCAGATCTTTAACCATGCCTTAAGCTGCGATTTTAAGATCTTGAGCTATTATTTTCTTTCTGTAAGCCCTCTAGCCCAAAGAGAAAGAGCCAGACTATTTTACAGAGCATCACCCATATCTGGGGAGACTATATATCCCAGTTTGTATAGCATCATCCTGTTTACGTCTGTTATCTTGGAATCACTGACACTCCCTTTTGCTTTCAAAAGTGTCCCTATTTGAATAATAAATTATGTTTACCCTTCATGTACCTATCACAGCAGCGATTTATACCACTAATGGACAGTCAAGGCAACCAGAGAGAAAATCTGTTTCATTATGGGATGATGTGGGCTATCAGTTTCCCATTCTCTAATGCTAATAGAATCCCCACTGGTTTTACACCAGAGTCAGATAATCAATCCTAGATTCCCATCTTTTTGAAGATCTGTTCCCTACAATCATCTTTGGTACTAATAAGTACATAAATCAAGACTTAGTTGTAGAATACAGAATCTAATCCAAGTATTAAAACAGAAAGGAATTCACTATAGTTTTAAGGAGCTTACAGGATTCTGAGAGGGCTGGAACTAAACCTACATTCACAGCCAAGAATAATGCAGCCAGAAGAAATGTCCAACATGAGACTGTTCTATCAGAAATCCCATAGTCATTGTCATTTGCTACTTGGCATCCAAGATGGTCCAAGATCCAATTTCTCTGTGCATGTCCACCTGCCACACATCATTTCTATCTTCATTCTAAGTTTTGCGCAGGAGTAGCTTCTTAGTAGAACCAAGGTCATGTGAGGAATTCTAATTAGGGAAATGCAATGTACTTTTTACACTTAAGATCTAACACAGAAAGTGTGTTAGAAAAGCTTTGGTGAGGATGCAGAGTGAGCCAATCTTCAGTATCTGCTAAGAACTGAAAAAGATTATGAGACAATCTATATTGAAGAAAGTGGTGGTAAGATTAGTGGTGTTTCCAGAATTTCTACTTAGAAGAGTTTAGGGGACACTATCTCATTAGAAGGGGGTTTAAGGGATTTGCCTTGAAGCTGTGTTTGCATAGCACACTGTTCTTACTTATCTCAGTTGTTTATTTCAAGTGGTACCTCGGAGAGCTAACAGAGGTCTAAATCATACAAATAAGACAAAACTTGGCACTGCAACCAGAAGAGAAAGGTAAGATACTATCAAGATTATCACTCCTACTTCCCAGATTAAATGGGCTGCCTCTGAATAGCAAATGACAAGAAAACCTTTGAATGACGTGTTCTACTATATTGACAGAAGTATCCCCTAAACAGTTCTGCATGAGAAAAGATTATTTTTATAAAACAAAATTATGACCTAATTTCTGAAAAATGCAAACTATGTTACAAAGTGTTTTAAATTTGGAACTTCCAGATAGCCTTGTATTTATTATTTCTATACTTATCACGTGCAAACTGGCAAAGGAAGAATGGACCAAGTGTGTTTTCCCTTCTTTATAATGCATATTTATTATTTAGTTAGTTAGTTAGTTTTTGGTCTACCTAACTTGAAACATCCCTTTTGCCTTCAAGGTAGCTTTGGGGTAATAATGGTCATATTTATCTTGGTAGGATTTCCTTGGTGAGAATTCCTTTTTCATTGCCCCAAGTCTATCTAAGTAGGTGAATCAAAATGTATTTTTATGCATGTACCTCCTCTTTTTAAAAATCAAGCCATTTAGTAAAAACCTTGCATCACAAGTCAAACAGCACAGAATAGAAACAACTCCTTTCAGAGGCTGCTGTGGACTTCATGAGGGAGAGGGGCCTGTGCTGCTACACATACATTTTGCAGATCTGTTGGCTTCTCAGTTCATAGCATTCAACTCCCTGGCTCCTCAGCAGCTCCTTCTCTTCTGCTGCATCTTGAACTTTCAGCTGGGGGAAGTGGGCTGGAGAGGCGATGAAATCATAGTGCCGGTCCAGATACCGCAGGTAGATGAGCATGTGCAAGGCATAAGCCAGAACTAGCAACAGGATGAGCGACATGGCCAAGCCAATCAGAATGGCTGGTGAGAAGGAAGAGGCACAGTCTCGGGCCTTGGCAAATTGTTTCCCCTTGATGGTAAAGCCTTGGATCTGTCAGGAAGAAGAGAAGAGCTGACGTGATCTATTCTCTCTTAAGATCTACTTTCCAGTTGGGCTGGGTTTCTGGACCCTTAATTAGGCAAATTAGATACTGTGACCATATTTGCTGAATAATTTAAACACATGATCTAACAAGTGTGTATGTGCTTACAGAACAGAGAAACTTAATTTTAAATCAAGCCTGACCCAGAAACTCCTCTAGGATGTATGATTGTCATAATTAAGAGGCTCATGAAATTCAAGGCTCTTAAATAAAACCTTTATTTCAAGGCTCTGAAATAAAACTTCTTTTTAATCTGATTCTTAGAAATGTTCTCATTCATCTAAAACCATAATTACTGTAGTGTCTCTGAAATTCAAACACATTCAAAATTTTACATGTTAGTATAAATTTCCCAAAGAATTTTAAGTCTCAGTTCTTCTGCCTTTGATTCTGTTGACAGCAATTAGACAGGAAGAGTCTTTTAAGGGAAGATATCATGATTCCCAATGAGGTAAGACATAGAAAATAAAACCTAACACTTATTAGTAAGGTCTTTTTTTTTTTCTTAATGTATCAGACATCTCCTAACTCATTTAATACCTACAAGAACCTTTAAATTACTATTTTATCCCTATCTTATGGATGAAGTGACTGAGGCGCAGTAACTTGCCCAGCATTAAGTGCAGTAAAGCAATAATTCAAACCCAGGCAGTGTGGCTTCAGAATCACTTCTCAATTTACCGTTCCATAAATATTGGTGTGTTCTCTCTTCTTCCTCTCATCATCACGTCTTTATAAGTTGTATCCTACACACTTGGAACAGTTTTAGGAATAGCTCTGTATAAGCAACCTCTCCTTATATCCTACCCAGAGAATAGAAAGGAAAGCTTTCCCATATGTGCAAATGCACTTTAATTACTTGGAACCAGAAGAGGCTCAAATTGACAACTGGCCCCGATATCTAAATACTGTCACAATGAAAGAAACAAGGCTACAGAACAACTACTCCAAACGAGAGCAATCATTTGTGGAAGGCAGCTCCCACATTTAGCTGGCTTTTAGAATATAACCTTATACTGTGTCACTTCATTTAGATGCCTAGTTGATTTTAAAGGAATATATCAGAAAATTAAATTATCCATGAGTGCTTTACTAAGAATCCACTTTTATGACTTAAGTAGGCATGGTAGCATTTTTCCATGCTAAAATGATTAGAGCCACCCATCATGCCATATGACTTAGGGGCGTTGCTCGCCCAATTGTCTGTGCTCTAGACTGAATCCAAAATAGCTTCTGAAGGAGATCGTTGGCCTGGCTTCTGGGATGCTTGGCCTGCCCCCTCTATGAAGAGGCAAAGTAGGTTTTTCTTCAGACTAGTGCCTTAGGAGTCAAGCTCCTCAATTACAAAAGACGGCCTCATTTGATGCTGTAGCTCCAGCCAAAGAGCATGTCCTCACATTGCCACATAATTCTTAACAAGACTTGGTTGAGAACAGTATCTGTGGAGAACGCCTGAATGATATGTTGTCCATCCATTTTCTGGACTAGAGATTGCAAGTACTCTGTATCTCACCCACAGGTGAGTTTTGTTTGGCCTAGAGTTCTGAACATCCTGAAAATTTCTCACAAGAATTCAGATTTCTAGCTTCTACTAAAAAGTCAGAAGATCTAGCAACACTGAATCTGCATTCCTACCAAGCAAAAATTGGATGGAATTGAATAAAATATGCTCCTTGTGATGCTGGCTACACTTTGCCAGTCTTCAGCTGGTTTACACAAGGCATCTGAGTTTGCCATACATGTTACATCACTCTATGCTTTATTTCTAGAATAAGCCAGATCAGCAAAGCTGCATATGTGGGATGCAGCCTTTTGTACACAACCTCCAACCACCATTACCTCTCCCTTGGATGGAGCTTGCATTCTGCTATTTGCTTCCACTAAGGGTGTTTTAACAAGGCCCACCTCTGACACTCAATGCTGTGCTCACTCTAAGGCCATTGTCTAAAATGTTGGCACATGTGACACAACACAAGGGAGGGATATACTTCTCACAAGCATATTTTCAGTAGTCGTATGGACCCCATGAACGTGTAACTGGGCGATTCTTTCTTATGCTGGTTGCTCCAAAGCTTCAGAGCCAAATTACTGAGCCGCCTCCAGCCAAGGCAGACAGATGGTCTTGAGGTTTTGTGTACCAACCGCACCAGTGACTCTAACTGAACTTTTATGCCTTTATTTTTTTTTTAGCCCCCATGTCTTTGCCCATTTTGCAAAGTTATGTTTCTTGTAGTGTGTCTACAAGTCACTGTTAAGTCATTTCTGGGATAAAGTGGAGGCATAAACCAGTCAATCTCTCTGTTCTAATTGGATAAGATTGTGTGTGAATTATTCCTTGTTTTCATTATAACTTCCTCATTGGCCTTTTTGCCGACTTCTCTTTTTAAGGGGCAAGATAAATACATATATATTAAATTTCATTGGAGCTAGACAGTCCAGAATTCAAATTCTGCCTCTACCATTTACCAGTTATATCATTTTGAAAAATTATGTAATCATTAAAGCTTCAGTCACCTGATTTGGAAAACAGAGATAATAACAGCTATCTTGCAGCATTACAATACATTTTGAAGACAAATATATAAAATAACTATAACAGTGCTGACACATAAGAGGGGACTCATAAGTAGCTGCTATTGTTAATCCATGCCTGGCACAGTCCTGCTGTTGCTGCATATATTAGGTCATGAATTCTTTATATTCATAAAGATAGGTCAGAAATTGAAAACTGAAAAAGTGAAAGAAATACCTTTCCCAGGTGGCTGAGAAGTAATTTGAAACCAAGTCTGCTGGGCTCTAAAATGCAAATTCCTTCCATACCCCAAACTGCCTTTCATCAACACCACACCTCTCCAAGTTAGGGGGTGGGATAAGTATATATAAATATACATAAATAAATACACACACATATGAATTTCCATTTATAGATGGGAAAGATTAGAAAATGCTCATAGAAAGGAGAATCCTGTGTGCAATTTCAGTGAGTTAGAAGAACAAGTTAAAATTTTTTTCACAAGTAAACAGGACAGAAGAACTTGACAGATGTCTCTCAGCCTGAGATTCTGGTGGTGAAAAGTACCCTCTTATGCCCCCATGCCTTTCCCAAATACTTTCAAGAGATCTTTGAGATATTTTTGACTCCCTGGCTGACAGTTCCTTTCCTATGCTAACTGCCAAAGCTGTCACTCAGGCTACAGATGTACTTCTTATCTTCCCTGATAGGATCACTGCTTCACTCCCTAAAGGAAATAAAATAATTGTCTGATAATTCCTTTCCCTAAAAGGGCCTCTCTCTCCAGGAAGTGTCAGTCACCAGGCTTCAGGCCACAGCTTCACTCTGGCTTAGACTGCTGGCATTCCTCCCCGATAATTATTAGTGACTGCATGAACCTGACTGTAAAAGCAAGAGGGGTAGGAGGTACACAGGGAAAGGAAATATCCTATCCTATTCCATTAGAGGATAAAGAAAAAAAATTAGCGATATTATTTTAAAGGTATCCAGTCCTCTATTTTCTTTAAACATCTATGTTTCAGTTTCAGGTGTTTTCAAACAAATACTGAGTTTCTTTGGCACCAAACACACAGGAGCATATGTTTTAGTTTATTACCTGGAAATCAACAAAAGTGATCTCCCACAGGCTTGACAGATCATCCATGTCACTGGGCAACAAGAGGGCATTGTACTGCGGCAGGCTGCTGACACGTTGGCAGTGGTAGGAATAACTTGATGGAGCATATATGCCAGTTGCATTAAAAGTTGCTTGGACTGAATTATTAAAAATAATCTCAACTTGGTGCAAACTAAACCAGCTCTGCATGGACAACTTGTTGTAATTGGTAAGGGTGAATCTGAAAATGATTATAAAATAGTATTATTCCCAGAGCACTTCTACATTTGCTGACACAGGACATTGGCTATGAACAGTGCAATCGCGCCCTCTTTTGTCAGGTAGTAGAACCGGCTCGAAGAGAGCCTTTCACTTTCCTGGTTCTGAACAAGCTTCCTGTCGAATGCAAATGAAAGCAAATAACAAGGCAGGCCCCCCCAAAGTGAGCGATACTATTCCTACAAAAGGAAAAAGAGCTTGGCTTTTTTTACTGTTTTAGAATCAACACTTGATTTTATTATTGTAAAACAACTGAGAAAAAATTAAATGGACTTCACTATAGAATTAGCTAAATAATGGTCAAAACAATAGTACTAGCTCTTACTATGTGTTGAGCACCCATGTATGTGTTTTACGTGTATTTTATTTAATCTCCACTACACCAGCATGAGATAGATGTTATTATTACCCTCATTTTGCAGATGAGGAATCTAAGAAAAAGAGAGGTTAAATAAACAACTTGTACAAGTTCAGAGAGTAAATATTGGAGCTGGGCTTTGAATCCAATCTGAAGACCAGAGCTCTTATTCTTAGCCATTTTGGAATGGAATATTCTCCAGGCATAAAAACATTATAAGGTACATATGCCATGATCATTTTTCTCACTTAAAAAAAAAAAAGTATGACTCCATAGAAAAATATTATGGAAGGAAAGAGACGAAACGTTAATAGTGATTACAAATGGTGGTTGGATTATAAGTAATTTTAATTTTCTTTTTCTTCAAAGCTCAATATTTTCTGATTTTTCTGTTATCAATGGACACGTATTACTCTGCCTTAGTTTGGGATCCTACAGAAGCAGACCTTGAGATAAGGATGTGAACACAAGAAGTATTTTTGGAAGGTGATCCCAAATTTATTTGAGAATTTAGTCTTTCAAAATATGTAGAATAAAGAGAAATTATAAAAGAATGGAAAGTAGCCAAAAAGGACATGTTATTAAGTGAGTTTCCACTGTGGACAAATGGGGCTTAACGTCCATGGGGAACCCTGCGGGCCAGAGTGGAACACAGGCCTCTGAGTTACTCATCTGAGGGTGAGGGAGCTGGGGTACTTAATGCCTCTCTCAGTCACTGGTTGAGAGCTGCTGGGGTAGAGATGGGAGGCAGTGGGCCCCTCTAGCCAGCAAAAAATTTTTAAAGGAAGATAGTCTAGCAATTGAAAGTTGAATTGGTGGACTATAGTGCTCACAAATAAAATATAGTTAAGTAAAATGTATTTAAAGCTCCAAGGGCTGAGGCTCTGGTTCGAAGTTATTTTCTGTATAGTTCCTTACAGTAAATCACACATCATTTAATGATAATGAAAAAGTGTCTGTTAGCTGTATTCCCCAGCAGACAGTCAACGCAGGCCTACAAATGCCCAAGAGGATATAGATGGGTACTGACGATGTTTGCCATATGCTTTTATCATCAGAAAAAAATCATCATAAAGCTATTTTCCTTTGGGGGAAAAAGTATGATATGAATAAAAATATTCCCCATTTCTATATGAAACATATATGTATATGTGTGTGGTCATGTTGTGGGAGTCTATTTTTCTTATAAAGTTTCTCTGAAAGGTGATGGCATATATTTTCTCAATTATGATCAGTGAAACATCAGTGTCCCAGATAAGCATTCTGAGGAGAGAGCTTCCCAAGGTTAAACGTGAGAAACACTAGGTTAATCAAAGTTACCTAGTGCAACAATCTTTCTAAAGAGCCTGTCTTCACAGAAACCTTAACATACAAATTAACACTGTGAATCTCCAAAAAGAGCACATGGTGTGCAGTATTTCTCAGCCATATTTGACCACGACCAAGAATGCCTCTTCTGGGCAATCTTCACAGAGCAGAAGCATTTCACAGAACTTAAGAAAGACTGCCCTAACACATTTTGTTGGTTTTCAAGTAATATTAGACATGCAGCTGCTACGGCTGCTAAAAGGCTGGTCTTATAGGAAAAGATACATTATATTTTTATAATAAAAAATTTTAATGCCTTCAAACTGTCGTCCTCTCCCTTCCTCAGAGCAGTTCCTAAATGCTTGGATAAACCACTGTTGGCAGATGTATCCTTCCATACATAAACACAGAAAAATGTAGGCCTGCGTTGACTGTCTGCTGGGGAATACAGCTAACAGACACTTTTTCATTATCATTAAATGATGTGTGATTTACTGTAAGGAACTATACAGAAAATAACTTCGAACCAGAGCCTCAGCCCTTGGAGCTTTAAATACATTTTACTTAACTATATTTTATTTTATTCTTTGCTCAGAGGAGAAGAGTAACACATTCTCACATTCACGTGTTCATGTGTTCTCCAGGTCCCGAATTAATGAAACTAAAGATGCTTTAGTAAAAACTAAAGAAGCTTTAGTAAAAACTAAAGAAAGCATTACTATAGAATCCCATCACGTAACACCACTGACTTTTCAGTGTAATTAGGTAGATGTGACATTTCACATGTCAGTGCTTAGCACATAGTTGGCCCTTGATACTTGCACATTGAATGAATAAATTATTTGGAGCTAATCTGAAGTGCTGAACCTCTGATACTCCAAAGTGGTATCCATACCTACCTTATATCAAGACCTTTGGGATTTTCAGCATCATCTAACTTCAGAGACAACCTAAGAAAACAGAAACAATACAGTCTTTCAAATTAGGAATAACCCTTACTTCACACTACACTCAAAAATTACCTCAAAATGGATCATAGAGCTAAATATAACAATTAAAACTACAAAACTTATAGAAGAAACATAGAAGAACAGTTTTGCAATCTTAGGTTGGCAATCGTTTCTTGAAAATACACAAGTATATAAAAAAATGATAAACTGTACTTTACTAAATTAAAAAAAAGTTTGTTCTTCAGAAGACACTGTTAAGAAAACAAAAAAGGCAAGCCACAGAATGGCAAAAAATACTCACAACACACATATATATATAATGAACTTGTATCTGAAATATGAAAAGTAACATTAACATCTCAATAATAAAAAGACGACCTAACTTAAAAATGGTCAGAAGACAGGCACTTCACAAAGGAAGATATACAAATAGGCAATAAGTACATGAAAAGAAGCTCGGCATCATCAATCATCAGGAAAACAAAATAAAACCGTTAGAAGATACCATCAGTAATCAGAATGATTCAAACATTTCTATATACCCACTCTTAACCTTTTAATATATATATAAATATATTTACTCACATTTTCTGGAAAGTTAACACACAATTTCCTCATAGCAACAACCAAGTTAGTTCCCTTTTAACCCATTCTTCCCCCTGGTAACATGATGAGAGCCAGACATCATCCTGCACATGCTGGGGTTTGTAATACAGGTGAGGAACACCAAAATTATGAATCTATGAGTTTATAGGAAAGAGACAGCAGTCCCCCCACCCAATTACCTCCTTTGTAAAGAGAAACATTTGTTTCCTTAGTGTCAAAATTTTTCCTTGGGAAGAGAAAAGGTAAGAATCCTGGGTACCTACCTCAGAATGTTAGCAGAAAGGTTTTACTAGCCTGTAGATGGGTGCAAATAGTTCACCATAAAGGAAACAAATGACTGCGGTCTAACACCATAATATGTGCATGAACTGCTCTAAGGAGAAGGTGAGAATCCTCCCTGCGCTTCCATGCCCTGGAATTTCTCCATGATCCTAAACTCATTATTCCTTGACATGTTAACACATTTCTCTGAGAAGGGAAATCTCTTACTAACTCCAAGGCTAATCTTTTATCCCAGGTCCCAGTAAAACGTATTCAGAAATTACTAACCATGTAGAAACATAAAAATAGTCCTACACTGACCATACCAAGTGTCAGTGAGGACGTGAAGCAAGTGGAACTCTCATACAATGCTGGTAGAAAAGTAAATGGTACAACCACTTTAAAAAACACTTTGGCAGTTTCTTAAAAAGCTAAACACACACATACTATATATTCCAGCCATTCCACTTCTAGGTATTTACCTAAAAGAAGTGAAAATATGTGCTCCTACTAAGACTTGTACATGAATGTTTATAGTAACTTTATTTGGAAAATTATCTAAAACCTGGGGGGGGGGGAACAAATTTCCATCAAGAGATGAATGGATAAATAAGTTATGATATATGCATATAATGGAGTACTTACTACTCAGCAATAAAAAGGAATACGCTTTTGATACATGCAACAACTCAGAATATCGAAATCATTGTGCTAACGTTAAAGAAGCCGAACTAAAGACTATATACTATATGACTATATTTATATAAAATTTTAGAAAATACAAACTTATCTATAATGATAGAAAGCAGATCAGTGGTTTCCTGGAGAGGTGGGAGTGGCAGGAGCGATGGTGTACAGAGGAGCACAAGGAAACCTTTGAGAATGATTAAATGCTTGTTGTCTTGATTGTGGTGATGGTTTCATGGGTGTACACATATGTCAAAACTGATCAAACTGTACACTGTAAATATATGCTGTTTAGTATATTTCATTTATATTTCAATAAGGTTAAAAATAGGAGTGATAAAAAGCTAAACAACTAAAATAATAAAATGTAAAAAATTTAAATTCAAAGGATGACAATATTGTGTATAAGAGTTATATAACACCTCAGTATACATTATAAAAACAACAAAGCAAGAGTAGTTATAATATGTCCGATTACAAGTTTGAAAAAATACCACACATATATAACCTCATTAATTTGGTTCCACTTATCGAAAAACAGACATGTCAACAGAAGTTTATTTTATTAAAATGAACTTAAGCCTCTATGTTTCCAATGTTCCAAGAACTTTCTCCAGCTGCCCTGATTTCAGTGAAAGCTGTTAACATGCTCACTGCAGAATAAAGAACATGAAGCCTGATTTCAACAAAGCAAACTGAACGATCATTCACCGAGAACCTTTTAAGTGCCAGACACCGCACCATAAACTGGAAACACAAGGAGAAATACAACCTAGCAAGTCACTCAAAAAGGAGCTTCTTCCACTCTTCTAAGCACCCTACCCACCCACATTCAAAATGGATTTTGAATTCTTGAGACTATAATTGCCTAAATTCAAAATACAGACAGATGCTAGGATTATGGTCTATTTGTAGGGCTTTTGGTATTTAAAAAGACTTCCGTAGCAAATCTGTCTGCCAACAATTTGCCTTTCTCTGAACATTTTGTTTCCAAGTGCTAAAACATGGTCATCTTTTTTTAATCTGTGCTTTTGACCTTACATGGGTTTGCTTGCGTTTTTCCTTTCAGAGACTCCCTGATTCTTGAGAACATCAGACTTCCTAGCCAGAGCAACAAAGACATTTCACTAGTCTGTACCATTCTCAGGAATCAAGGACACTCAGTCTCAGCAGCTGGTCCTTAATGCCTCACATCCTGGGAAGCCTCCCACTCATCCCTGTGGGTGGGCTCTCCAGGATGCCTGCACACTTGCCTGAGCAGGACTCCAGGAAGTTGATGCTACACACTCAGTTCTTGCCCTCGGTAGAATTCTAGGACTGTGACCAAGAAGAAAAAGATCCTGTCCAATCATTAATGCGTGCACTGTGGAAACCAAAGCTTCCCTAGGCCTCCCTACCAGGTAACTAGACACTAATTCACCCTAGTTTTCTTTGGTATATTAGGAAGGTAATCTACTACTCTGAGTAGCACTTGATAAGTTCTCAAAGTTCTCATGCATGCATTTCCTTATTTGATTTTCACAACCCTATGACATAGGGCCAAGAGAGAGGAGGTAAAATGTCATTGCTAAAGATTTTTGAGACATCGGCTCTAATACCATACAAGTATGATCTTAGCAAATTTTCTAATCTCTACAAGCCTTGACTTCCTCACCTGGAACATGAATAATAATATAGTACCTGTCAATCAGAGACTTATTCACAATAGTGTTATAAGGAATAACAGACATTGTACCTGTGAAGTCTTCATGGTACTGGCCCATTGTAGGCACTCAAGGCTTATTAATTACAATTATAGAAGCTACCATCTCCATCTCACAGATGATGATCCTACTGTGGCTCCAGCCTGTAAAGTCACAGAGCTCACTGGCAGAACTGGGCCTAGAAGCAAAGTTTTCATTCTTTCTGACTCTCGGTTCTCAATGATCATCAAGGTTTCTAAAGCTCAGCCAAAAGCTATGGTCCCCTGATCTTCCTCACAAAAACCCTGGAGTCATGATAAATGAAATCAAGGAGGGTCAGTCAGCCATGGACAGGCAAGATGATCCCCAGGCAATCAGCCTCTCTCTGCAAAGCCTACCACAAATAAAGTGCCCTGTAGGAAATTAATTAGAGCCTGAGGAAAAAGTTCTGAGCTATTAGCAGGGCTGGATCTCTTTGATAGTCTTGCTCTAACAGAATAAACAAATCTGGGAGGACTCTGGATGCTTATAATTACAATTCCCTAATTCCCTAACAAGAGATATTTATTCTGAATAACAAGATACCAAGACTTGTAATATAACTTGTAAGTTTATGTTAATATAATTCATTTTTACTCATCATCAAGAATTTTTAAATGAGAAGTTCAGGAATAAAGAAGTATTTCCAGCCAAAGGATATAAATATAAAAAGAACACACATACATACACACACACACATACACACATTATAGTTTATACAAAGCATTCTGTCCATCTATACCAAGCCAGAACAGAATCTTCCAAAAGCCCCCATTATACCAGCAAATGTTGAAAGCAAGGAGGTTTATAGAAAGTAGTGGGACATGCCAGACTTCCTCCCCTTGGACCAAAACAAATACAAGCAAAAAATTCTTTGCCTGGACTGAAAAACAGAGAAAGGAATTGAAATTCATTTTCTCTTCAAAAGGAATATTTGTTTAATCTGCTTATCTCAAATCAAAAGTTATTATTCTAACCATTTTGAAATGTCCTAAAGAAATCTCTAAAATTTGGACATTCGAAAGTACACTTGCACATTTGCAAACAATGTTCCAAAACTTCAAAACACTCCCCAGAATCAAACATCTGCCACTAGAGTCACCCATCTCTGTTTCACCCTCTAGAATAGGTATGACTGTGCTCTGTAACTTCTGTAACAGTCCTAGATATGTAACTTCCTTCCTGGTGGGACAAAAGTCGTTTGACACCTCACATTTGAAGTTAATGCCACGCCTGGAATCCTTTTCTTTTTCAGAATGAGTTTGAGAACCTTCATCTTCAGAACCCTGATTTTCCACCGGGTACTACAACAATCAGCTAAAGGGTTCTGAAGAAAATTGCTGGGAAAAAATATAACAAATTTTTAAAAATTAATTTTTGACTTGTTTTTCCATTTTAGACGTTAAGCATTTCCTCAAAGATGTGTGTCAGGGTCATGTACAAAGGAGCCTACTTCTTTTTTCTGAAATGACAGAAAACTGGACTGCCCCATTAATAGACTACAACTGCCCTAAGGGCTTCCTCCAGCAAAACAGTCAACTTACGTGGCACTTTCTTCACTGCAATTTGAATTACGAGCATCCACTGTAGCCTTACGGCCAAAAGCTTCATCTGTAAAGTCCAGCCAGATCTGGTTCTTAAATTTAATTGTTATTCTTTTGGCCCAGAAGAGAATACAGGGGTTTCCATCCATGGAGACATTAACCAGGCTATGATGGCTGAATGCATTCCAAGTTTCTTTCTCTAAATGCTCTTGTCCTCTCCGATTATAGTGGAGGGCCTGAATAACCAAATAAACAAAATTTAAGAGGCAAATTAGTTTCTATGGTACAAAAGGCTTCTTGCAAGTAAAAGGACTAATTCACGATCTGTCGAAACTCTGATTTCTAGTTTGTTCCATTCTCAGGAATCAAGGACATTCAGTCTCAGCAGCTGGTCCCTAATGCCTCACATCCTGGGAAGCCTCCCACTCATCCCTGTGGGTGGGCTCTCCAGGATGCCTGCACACTTGCCTGAGCAGGACTCCAGGAAGTTGATGCTACACACTCAGTTCTTGCCCTCGGTAGAATTCTAGGACTGTGACCAAGAAGAAAAAGATCCTGTCCAATCATTAATGCGTGCACTGTGGAAACCAAAGCTTCCCTAGGCCTCCCTACCAGGTAACTAGACACTAATTCACCCTAGTTTTCTTTGGTATATTAGGAAGGTAATCTACTACTCTGAGTAGCACTTGATAAGTTCTCAAAGTTCTCATGCATGCATTTCCTTATTTGATTTTCACAACCCTATGACATAGGGCCAAGAGAGAGGAGGTAAAATGTCATTGCTAAAGATGTTTTAGACATCGGCTCTAATACCATACAAGTATGATCTTAGCAAATTTTCTAACCTCTACAAGCCTTGACTTCCTCACCTGGAACATGAATAATAATATAGTACCTGTCAATCAGAGACTTATTCACAATAGTGTTATAAGGAATAACAGACATTGTACCTGTGAAGTCTTCATGGTACTGGCCCATTGTAGGCACTCAAGGCTTATTAATTACAATTATAGAAGCTACCATCTCCATCTCACAGATGATGATCCTACTGTGGCTCCAGCCTGTAAAGTCACAGAGCTCACTGGCAGAACTGGGCCTAGAAGCAAAGTTTTCATTCTTTCTGACTCTCGGTTCTCAATGATCATCAAGGTTTCTAAAGCTCAGCCAAAAGCTATGGTCCCCTGATCTTCCTCACAAAAACCCTGGAGTCATGATAAATGAAATCAAGGAGGGTCAGTCAGCCATGGACAGGCAAGATGATCCCCAGGCAATCAGCCTCTCTCTGCAAAGCCTACCACAAATAAAGTGCCCTGTAGGAAATTAATTAGAGCCTGAGGAAAAAGTTCTGAGCTATTAGCAGGGCTGGATCTCTTTGATAGTCTTGCTCTAACAGAATAAACAAATCTGGGAGGACTCTGGATGCTTATAATTACAATTCCCTAATTCCCTAACAAGAGATATTTATTCTGAATAACAAGATACCAAGACTTGTAATATAACTTGTAAGTTTATGTTAATATAATTCATTTTTACTCATCATCAAGAATTTTTAAATGAGAAGTTCAGGAATAAAGAAGTATTTCCAGCCAAAGGATATAAATATAAAAAGAACACACATACATACACACACACACATACACACATTATAGTTTATACAAAGCATTCTGTCCATCTATACCAAGCCAGAACAGAATCTTCCAAAAGCCCCCATTATACCAGCAAATGTTGAAAGCAAGGAGGTTTATAGAAAGTAGTGGGACATGCCAGACTTCCTCCCCTTGGACCAAAACAAATACAAGCAAAAAATTCTTTGCCTGGACTGAAAAACAGAGAAAGGAATTGAAATTCATTTTCTCTTCAAAAGGAATATTTGTTTAATCTGCTTATCTCAAATCAAAAGTTATTATTCTAACCATTTTGAAATGTCCTAAAGAAATCTCTAAAATTTGGACATTCGAAAGTACACTTGCACATTTGCAAACAATGTTCCAAAACTTCAAAACACTCCCCAGAATCAAACATCTGCCACTAGAGTCACCCATCTCTGTTTCACCCTCTAGAATAGGTATGACTGTGCTCTGTAACTTCTGTAACAGTCCTAGATATGTAACTTCCTTCCTGGTGGGACAAAAGTCGTTTGACACCTCACATTTGAAGTTAATGCCACGCCTGGAATCCTTTTCTTTTTCAGAATGAGTTTGAGAACCTTCATCTTCAGAACCCTGATTTTCCACCGGGTACTACAACAATCAGCTAAAGGGTTCTGAAGAAAATTGCTGGGAAAAAATATAACAAATTTTTAAAAATTAATTTTTGACTTGTTTTTCCATTTTAGACGTTAAGCATTTCCTCAAAGATGTGTGTCAGGGTCATGTACAAAGGAGCCTACTTCTTTTTTCTGAAATGACAGAAAACTGGACTGCCCCATTAATAGACTACAACTGCCCTAAGGGCTTCCTCCAGCAAAACAGTCAACTTACGTGGCACTTTCTTCACTGCAATTTGAATTACGAGCATCCACTGTAGCCTTACGGCCAAAAGCTTCATCTGTAAAGTCCAGCCAGATCTGGTTCTTAAATTTAATTGTTATTCTTTTGGCCCAGAAGAGAATACAGGGGTTTCCATCCATGGAGACATTAACCAGGCTATGATGGCTGAATGCATTCCAAGTTTCTTTCTCTAAATGCTCTTGTCCTCTCCGATTATAGTGGAGGGCCTGAATAACCAAATAAACAAAATTTAAGAGGCAAATTAGTTTCTATGGTACAAAAGGCTTCTTGCAAGTAAAAGGACTAATTCACGATCTGTCAAAACTCTGATTTCTCTCTAGCTCCAAAGTCCATATTAACAAGCTTAATTTGATGGGTACATCTGAAAGGTACAAGAACCCAGTTCTACAAAGCACCAAAAATGGGACAGACCAAATTGAAAAACAACAACAACAACAACTTTGCAAATAACATTATCAATATAGACTTTAAAAAGTCATTGTGCTAGGGGAGGAAGAGAGGATAGATAGGTGGAGCACCGGACTATTCTGTATAATATGGTAATGGTAGATAGATATCATCCTATATTAATTAAAACCCATTAAATGTTCAACATGAAGAGTGAATCCTAATGTAAACTATGGACTTTAGTTAATGATAACATATCAATATTGGTTCATCAATTTTAACAAATGTACCGCACTAAGGCAAGATGTTAAATACAGGAGAAATTGGAGAAGGGAGAGATTGAGGGGGTTTATGGGAAACATCTGTACTTTTTTGTTAATTTTTTTCCATAAACCTAAACTGTTTTAAAAAATAAGTTTATTAATTTTTTAAAAATTCACCATGGCATTAAACTAATGGCAGTAATCTCATCAGAAAATAATATCATAAGACCTCAAATAATGCAAGACTTAAAGAAACATACTAAACAAAGAAAGCAGGTTTTTAGAAATCAAGCATAATTCTCCAAACCATTAATGTCCAATAGAACATTCAGCAATATTGGGTATGTTCTATACCTGCACTGTCTGATGCAGTAGCCACTGACTGTATGTAGCTATCATGCCCTGGGATCGAGGCCAGTGCAACTAAGGGGTTTAATTTTTAATTTTACTTAATATTGTTTCATTTGAATTTAAATTTAAGTAGCCACATATGGCTAATGGCTACTACCCTGGACAGTGCAGCTCCAGATCATTTAATATACATAAACTACCAAGGTATTCTAACATGTTCTACACCTGAGAAGCCCTTGCTGATTTCCAGGAAGCCTAAGACAACGCACTTCCGTACCTGACTCTAGAGGTCACAGAAAAAGGTCTATATGGGAAAGAAGATCCACTTATCTAGATTAACTATTCCATACCAATTACTCCAGCCTAAATACAGATAAAAGAGAAATTTAACGAGCAGAGGCAATCCAAGCTTGCCAGTAACCAAAGATAAACTGGTACTCCAGTGATCCTGTCTGGAAAGCAACAAAAGTAAAACTTAACATTGTAATGAAAATATACAAGAGCAAGTTAAACTTTAGTTTTTTTCTCAACTATAAGATTACCATAACACACTTCCCCATCTAAGTTCAAGCAAGAATTTTATTTATTAATAGAATTATTCCTATTTTCACAGTGGCTCTGACCTGATTGAAATGTTTAAAACTTTTAAAAGATGCAATCTAGTTTCCTAACATATTCATACCTGAGCAATTGGAATTGTTGTGAAATTCTGCACTGTTTTCATATCTCCATTATTCTGGTGATCTGTCAAAAAAATGGCATGAGTACAAAGACTAAATGTCATTGATTAATATAATTCAGTGACAATAATATCCTAAGCACTGTGAAATACGCCAGACTTGAGTCTCTCTTGGCTCATAATTTAGAATACACTAGTTTAAGTGATCTTCACATGGGAAACTCCTGATGCAAGCACCAGTGTTCAGGGAAGGCCATCATAGACAAAACCCTTCCTCAACCCCGGAAGGAATCATAAGAGCAAATACAGGTCTTACCACTCTTTATAACCACTTCTTTACTTAAAGATGTTCGAGAGCTGAAACAAGAAAAAATAAAATAAAAAGATGCTGAAAAATATCTACATTTCAGATCATATGAAGTTTTAAGAAATATATTTCAATTTATTACATCTCAGAGCAGAATTTTAGCCTGTCAAAACTATCCATTTTTTTGTTTTGTTTTTGTTGTTTTTGTTTTTGTTTATTTATTTAAATTGAAGAAATGATTTAAATTTTTTTTCCCCCATCTAAGTCCCCCTCTCGCCTCCCCTATGATAACCACTAGCCCATTGAAAACTATCCATTTTTTAATAGTGAACTTCGGACTTAAAAAGTAATATATGTTCTCCAAGGAAATAAAATAATATTTTACAATGAAATTTTATAATACACTGTATTGTTAAGATATTAAAGCAAAAATATTCAACCCATTTTATTAAAAAGACAGACTCAATTGCCAAAAGGTATTTCTGAAAATTATGAAGATATAAATTATAATATATATCCTTACAGTGTTTCACCCTATACGCACACCACATATAATTACCTTTTGATAAAATTTAAAAAGAGATTTTTATAAACATTCTGTTTTTGGAAATTGAATATTTTTACTTAAAAATATATCTTAAATATTTTCCCATGTTATTACATATTTTTGCGACATAATTTTGAATTCCATGTGGTATCGTATCACTCGAATGTATGAATTTATTTAACCAAATTCCTATTAAATATCTAAGATGTTTACAATTAATACTACATTGAACATTATTATGCACCGTTTGTTCATAACTCTGAGAAACTCCTTAGGTAAATTCCTAGAGATGAAATTGTTGAGTTAGAAGATATACACATCTTTTTATCATGGAATACTACAAACATATATAAACAGAAAAATAACCCTCAGCCACCGGCAACTGTGAACTTGCTTTCTGTCACTTTAGATTAGTTTGCATTTTCTAGAATTATAAATAAGATCATATAACATATTCTTCCGTACTTGGCTTCTTTGTCTTAACATAATAACTGAAATTCATTAATAATGTTACATGCATCAATAGTTCAGCCCTTTTTATTACTAAGAAAAATTTCAGTGCATGGATACATATGTAGCCACTGATGAAAATTTATGATGTTTCTAGTTTGAGGCTACTACAAATAAGAACTTCTGCAAACATGGGTTTCTGTGGAATATGTTTTTGTTCCTTTTGAGTGAACATCCAGAAGTAGAGTGGCTGTCATACAGTACAAGCTTTTTATTTAAAAAAAACCTGATGATAAATTTCTGTGTATGAGATTTTCTGTGGCTCCACATTCTTGAAACATTTGGTAGTCTCTTTAATTTTAGCCATTCTAACGGGTATGGGTTGCTATCTCATTGTAGTTTTAATTTCTATTTCCCTGATGATTAATGATGTTGGGCTTCTTTTCTTATGCCTATGACCATTAATATATATTTTCTTTTGTGAAGTGTCTGTTTAAATTTTTTGTCAGTTTTTAAAACTAAGTTCATTGTCTTCTTATTATTGAGTTGAAAGAGTTCTTTGGATTCAAGTCCTATGTCAGATATATGCATTAAAAATGTTTTCTTCCATACTATGTCTTTTTTAATTTTAATGATGACTTTCAAAAACCAAAAGTTTTAATTTTCATAAAGTCTAATATATTTTTTATTGTCTATGTTTTTTGTCTAAAAAATATTTTCTTAATATAACATCACAAAGATTTTCTCTTGTGTTTCATATAGAAATATTCAAGTATTAGCTTTTACATTTAGTTCTGTGATCCATTTTGAGTTGATATATGTGAGATAAGGTACTTGTAAAATTTTGGAGTCTGGGATAAAGAAAATGTCCTATCAGATGCCAGAAATAAAAAACAAGAATCAT